GAGGAGACCTTACCATGTAAAATGTAACATGTGGTTGGTGAGAAATCTGACGCCCTGAAAATACAGTTTGGAGTCCCCCAGGGTTCGATTCTCGGACCTCTCTTATTTCTCCTATATATGAATGATATCGCCAACTGCTCCAGTCTGGGATCATTTGTCACCTTCGCTGATGACACCAATATATTTGTGACTGGGAAATCTAAAAAGGAGGCACATATGCGTGGTAATTCTCTTTTAGCTAGTTTATCTTCCTACATGCGAGCAAACAAACTCCATGTCAACATGTCTAAATGCTGTTTCATTCACTTTAAACCAGCATCGTCCTCCCAGACTGACAATAATTCTGAATATACCCTAACCATTGATAACTTTCCAATAAAACAAGTTGCATCTGCTAAGTTTCTGGGAGTCGTCATCGACGAAAAGCTGACCTGGGAAGAACACATAAAATCACTTAGGCGTTCTCTCAGCCATGCAACATCAACTCTCTGCCGCCTATGCTGCTCCCTCCCAGATTTCTTACACCGCCAGTTGTATTACACTCTATTTGAATCACACCTCTCCTATTGTATCACGGTTTGGGGTGGGGCAGCCAACACTCGTATAAGTTCTGTATTCAAAGCGCAAAAATATTGTCTCAGGGTACTGTTTGGCGACAGGGAGGCATACCTAGATAAATTTAAGACCTGTGCTCGTGCTCGACCGTTTAAAAACCAAAATCTGAACAATCATTTTTTCTTGAAAGAGCACACCAAACCTTTGTTCAAGGAACACGGAATACTTGCCGTCCAAAACCTGTACAGTTACCATTGTTTCCTTGAGCTCTATAAAATCATGAAATTCCGTGCTCCGATTTCCCTCTATGAAAATTTCACCTGCTTAAGTAGGAAACCCACCCTTATACTAAGCCAAGCAGACCCCCCTGACAACTTCAATAGCTGAACGACTCGTATTTGGAACGTAATTGTGCCTAAGCTTGGTATACGTGACTACTGTCTGAGTGTGGCCTGCCTGAAGTCTAGGATGAAGCAATCACTGCTCTTCAACCAGCATAACCATGCTGATCTTGATTGGACAAACAAAGATTTCGAATGCTCTAATTTAAATTTTGACACCAAGTCTACCCTAGGGTCCACACATCCAAAATGATTATCTTGAAATTGAAAATTAGCTGGGTGGCATTTTCCTTTGCCTCACTAACGTGTGTGAGCGCAGTGTAGTGAGAAAGTGTTTTTAACTTAGGATTATGATTTATGATTTTTGAACTATTACATTGATAAGATTTATTTTTGATAGGTACTTAATAAAGTTTAACGGGTGATACTCGTAAAATATCTGTTCCATATATTGGACCGTCCACGAGTCCAACTCGGCGCGCGTCCTGGTAGGTTGTAAACCAACAAAATAAAGTTGATGAATTCCCCTCCCTATTAAAATTTTAAAAATATTTAGTGAAAATTGATAAACGAAGATCTAGATATTGATACATATTATAATCAACATTGCTTATCCTCTGCCTTGTTAACAAAGAGCAAATTTTCTTAATGCCTTCTCCCTGTCCTAAAACCAAAACTTCATCCTATTAAAGTAAAGGCCTGTTGTTACCACAAGCTATTATACAGTCCCTCTCAAAAACATGCCTCAACCTCCATCAAAAACAATTTTAGTTTTCAGTCCTTCTAGTTTCCAAAAATGTACCGAGCTAGTGTTCTGGTGTGCACAAAAGCCCCTAAGCCCGTGCATTCCTTGCCCCGCTAGCTGCCAGTCCTTGATTAACGGGTGATACTCGTAAAATATCTGTTCCATATATTGTCCAACTCGGCGCGCGTCCTGGTAGGTTGTAAACCTACAAGTAATTGTAAGATAACAAACCTCCAACCTCGCGCGCGCGGCGCTTACATCTGCACCTGAGAATCTTTCAGCAATATGTGGCTGTCTGCGCGGCGGGCTGTGTATTGTGTATATAGCTGAATTTAAATTTAAATTTATTAGGAAAGAAAAATTTAGGAAAGAAAAATTTTTATTTACCACAAAACAATCAATACATAATGTTATATTCATAAATAAATTCAAATTTCAATTTCAAACACATATACAGTACGCCGCGCACACAGCCACAATTTAAAATTGTTCAGAAATTCGTAGGTCAGCTGTAGGCGCCGCGCACATGATCTATTTAATTGTTATCTTATAATACATGTCAATACATATTTTACAATTACATGTCACATTTCTTAATTTCTAGAGCCAAAATTTCAGAAGCAAAATAATTTAAAAGATATTTCTGTCGTTCACGCAGTACAGGCCGTGAACACTGCGACCTAATTAATATAATAATGGAGAGATTCCAAAAAACCGCGCGCTCGTTATTTGTGATTAAATTGAGTGCGCGCCACTGTCAACCGCAGTACCGCTCAAGCATGAAGTACTAAGCGGTACGCAGTTTTGCGTGAGGCGTAGACATTAGTAGCACACGTTTCATTCAACTAATCCATTATGTGACATGTAATTATATTAAAGCAAAAAGAATATTAATTTTAGTAATAATTGACGTAAACATATGTGTTTAAATAACATCTATAATCTAGCGAGTTACTAATACCATTTGTTTGTATTATTGATTATATATGTTTACACTAGCCTATATTATGATGGAGATATACATTGCATTATATAATTGCTCCAATATTCAACACTGCTAAACAACAAATACCTACTCGCCCATCGATGAAGCAGTCGCCAAAACAAAGCTCAAAGTTAATATTAAAGTTAATATATCCTCGTACTTCGTTTTGGAAACTGTAGAATTCCAATAAATAATTAGTGTTTCAATTGTGTATTCGATGGGCAAGCACTCGGCACTCGAGGCCGAGACAAACGGCACCAGCTCCGCCCTGCAACCATGAAGTAATGTAAGCAGTAAGGCGGGGCGGTGGTGTGCGCCGTTTATACGGCCCACAGCACGAGACATTTTGAGCTCCAAGACTTAAGACTATAAAAGTCCCGAATTAAACATAGCGACTTACCATCGTCAGCCGTCAAAAATTTAGAATTTGTATGTTATAAACTCTACACCTGCTATCAGTATAACATGTAATTTAGTTTGTTATTGGCTAAATTTTCAACTCGATTAAGCGATGCAGACGGATGAACTAGTGACTAGGCTTCTCCTCCGTCAAAAACACAATGAGAGGGGGTTGTGGAAGGACACGAACGCTATTCGTTAACTCGTACCCCGGGTACCCCCTAGAACCGTGTCCCATCAGAGAGAGCCCATCACCCGTCAGATCGAAAACAGTGTTTTAGTTTTGATATATGCTGTACCAATTACAATAAATGGTAAGTCAAGGCTGACGTTGGTAGCAAAATATAAAGTGACACGTCACAACAAAATAACCACTACACACTACACACTATATATACGCTATAACTATTGTACACAGTACACAGTATAACTTAAATATAAAATATAAACAAGTTACAAGAGACAAAAGAGTTTACAGAAGAGTTTTACATCGGCTCAGCACCGCCAGGACATTGGCTATACACGTGGGTCAATTAGTTTGATTTGGTATGGCTCGACCGGGAAAGTGGTCGAAATTAGTGCTCTTAATGAGTCATCACTGTCGTCTGAATATTAGAGCGGGAACTTCCCAAGTTTCGGCCGACAACAATAATATTAAATATGTATTGATTGTTTTGTGGTAAATAAAAATTTTGTTTTACTAAAAAAAATTTGTTTTGCTCAATCCTTCCCAGCTCGGCGAGGCCCAGTAGTGCAACTCGCCGATTTACGGTTTCGAGAAGAAATATTTGATGCGCGGCGCGGCCCAGTAGTGCATTGCGCAACAATGTACAATGTTTTTACCCAAAACACAGCACATTCCCAAAATTGCGCGCATTGCAACATATTCTTTCAAACTTCATACATCTAAATTAATTTTTGTAATACAATATGTACGTAATTGGAATACACCAGAGTAAAATAAGTGTCTTGATAAAAAATAACACCCTGCGCGCAGCGTGTTGACCTCTATTCATCGTATTTTACAAATATTTAGAGCTCGGCAATCTATTCCATTTAAATTTTAAAGTTTTAATATTTTTATATTAAATTCTTTTTCAATTCAGTTGTAAATCAATTAAGTTTGCTTTCCGTGAAATTTGATATATAGTTTTGTAAAATAGTTTTGAAGAGTATCAGCGAATTGAAAAGAAATGTAGTTAAAACTGATACAAAAAACAACACCATCCGGACCAGAACTTTTAAAAATGTTAAGCTTTAAAAGTTGATTTTTTGTATTATAACTGCTGACTCTCATATCATCAATATCATCAATAATTTCATTGTCAGGTTGGAGGACTTCGCCGCTTCGACGCGCCGCGCAAACTAGCATTCTTGCTTCGCATTGTCGATCGTTGCTTCGCATTGTCGATCGTTGCTTCTCATCGTCGATCGTTGCTTCGTATCGTCGATCATTGCTCTGCTTTTATTCGCAGAGCAACGATCTCGACGGATTGACATCGTCAATCAAATTGTCAGGGCATAAAATTTCAGTTTTAGGGAGAGGGCCAGGTGGTTCTTAACGGGTGATACTCGTAAAATATTTGTTCCATCGGCGCGCGTCCTGGTAGGCTGTAAACATACAAGGTAGTTCACGCACAAAAACAGAGCTAAAGGCACTTGCAAGTACCTCAGCTGACTCAGTCGAAATATCTGTGCGTGAACTATTTCCTCTATCCAAATAGAAACCACACTAGATTTAACTTGACGTTTATTCGTAAATAGGAGTAAAAAGATTTACAATTCTGTTTCAGATTAGACGTAGCCACTTGCATCACTTGATTTGAGTGAATGTATGTCATATATTATTTGAAAATCTTTCCAGCTTACTTAAATGATTGGACCACTATTTATTTTGTTTGAAAATTCAATTAATTATTATAATTATATATATTAATCGAGCGTTACATTTCAGCCATGCAAAAGTTTTAATACTTTCAACACTACTATATAACAAATAATTTGAGATACGACATGAGCGCAGACAAGTGTCACGGATGTGGAGTTGAGGAGAGTGAGACGATGAGAGGAAAGGGAGTAGATGTGTGGATAGGCTGTTCATCATGTGAAATGTGGTGGCACGTGAGTTGCGCTGGGATGCAAGGACTAACAACAAAGACAGTCAAGGAACTGACCCAGTGGAATTGTCACTTTTGTTTCGAGGTGCCAGTGAGACTGAAGGAGACTCAAGTGTCTATGGAAGTTGGTCAAACAGTTGCACGAGAGATCCAGATGGGTCTAGCTTCTGTGACAGAGGCAGTGAGTAGTTGTGTCCAGAAGTCATTGCAGGACTCCCTTGTTGGTACGCTGGTTGGTGCAGCTAATGCAGAGATTACGAGGAGTTGGGCTAGAATAGCCAGTGGAGATCAAACCAAGTTGATAACTGAGGTAGTCCAGGTAGCATCAGGCCCTGCTTTGTCAACAATCACTCAACAGATTGATGCAAACATGCAGCAACGTTTGAAGAGAGTCAAACACATAGTTGTGTCTAATCTGCCGGATTCAGGAAAGGAAACAGAGAGCCAGGCTGAGCTGAAGGACATCATTTGTCAGCATGCAACTGACCTTACAACAAGTGATATTCAGTCGGCTAAAAGAGTTGGAGATTTTTCACGTATTAATCGTAACAAGTTCAGAGGCAGGATGGTTATAGCTGTTCTAAAGAGTGAAGAGAGAGCAAGCTATATGCACAATAATGGACGTGGCTTTGTATACAGAGGTAGCAAGCAAGGAGATGACGTGTGGATAAACCCTGACATGATCAAAGCAGACAGAGATGTTCAATGGAATACTCGAGAGAAGAGAAAGGCCGAGGCCGATCTCAAGAAGAAGGGAAAGCCAGTAGCTGCACCTAAACCAGTGATAAAGAATGAACTCAAAACTGATGTGGCTCCTGTAACAAATGAAGAGCATGTGGATAATAAAGAAGATGTTGTCCAGAATGCTGTGAAGTCAAAAAACGAGTAGCGAGTTGCGTGAAGGAATCACAGGGTATCAAGATGCTGTACACTAATGCTAATTCCCTGTACAATAAGATGACGGAACTCATGGTTTTGTCAGAGACTCACGATGTTCAGATCATTTGTGTGACAGAGTCCTGGCTAAATTCAGATATTGTTGACGCTGAAGTGTCTATTCCTAATTTCAACCTCTTTCGTGCAGACAGACCTAATGATACACGTTTTGGGGGATCTGCTATCTTTGTCCACAAAGCATTGAGGGTAGAACGATTGGATTGGTTTACTGGTCTTGAATCACTTGCGGTAAATATTGTAATCGACTCTGTTAGGTTCAATGTTGTTTGTCTGTATCGGTCTACTTCACTTGTTGATAGAGAAACAAATTTTTAGAGAAACAAATTTGAATTTTGATCTTTATTACAGATTAAACATATCATATATAACCATAAAAGCCGCGCGTCGGCTGATTGCTTCAACTTGGATTGGTAGTAATTTCAGTTTACAGAAGCTGAAGGACGGCAGCTCAAAAGCCCCAGTGAACCATCGGAAAGATCAAGGACTCGAGTGCCAATAGTGGCTTTTTCGAACCCATTTTCGCCGATTTGCTGTGGCCCAGATGAGCCGCGCCCTGCTGCTTAACGGCACATGGTGGTTTTTGTTTAAATACTTATTTAAATTTAAGCGATAATTCATTTGGTGGTTTACAGTTTTTGAATCATGTTCATCATTTATTTTTCGTTCAATTATCACGTTTTTACAATTCAGTCATACCATGCATAGTCAACATTGTTGAGGCAACCAGCTTCCGCAGTTCAATAATTGGAGACCGAAAAATATAAATTGATCGAAATTTACAATTCATCGTTATCAAATATAGTCAATAATATTCTTGATTCCATTTAGTACATAATAAGTTGGTTTTATTCTCTTGCAACACTACTGCACAACAAAAACTGCGCCTGTCCACCAGCAACAGCGCAGTCATAGGTGTGCAGCCAAAGCTAGGCCACACACCCATGGCCGCGCCGGTTAAACAACTCTATCATCTATATTCAATCGTTATATTAGGAAATTTTAGTTAATTCTTTGATCACTCTTCAGTGCCGGTGGGCAGGCGCCCCGCATAGTTGGCTTTCCAAATTTACAGTCTCAAGAAAGCCGATACGGTAATCGAGTCCCGGAGCAGAACACACATTTAGAAAATTGAAAAATTAAAATTAAAATTAAAATAACAAATTAGAAATTAAAAATTAAAAATTACATGACTACGAGAGTCCAGACAGGCGACAAACACACAAACCGGACGAAGAGAGGACCCACTGCTGAATTCGACATATAATGAATTGTTGAAAACATAATGATTCCTACACTAATATGATCTTGTGGCATGCCCTGCATGTACTGTGCGAGTACATTGTAAATAATATCTGATAAGATGGGCCAAAAATAGCGGCACAGCGCGCAAAATGCGCGGCGTGACCGCCGAAATTTTATACTTTAGACATTAACATTTCAATCGGCTTTAGCGCTCAGCATATCTTCATTGAGTAGACATTAGAATTTCAGTTCGTTGGAATCGAAGTTCAGTTCACACCAATCTATTTCGTCGTACCTGGACTGCATGCCGAGTAACTCCTTTTTTATTGTGGATTTCACAAGGTTCGTTGATGTAGAGAAGTTGATATTGCTAGCAGTGTTTCTACAATCGTTCCACATTTTTGTCGATTGATATATGAAGGAGGTGGATGGGGTTGGAGTGATGAATCGATCAGCACGTCTTGATGATCTGTTAAATAGATTTAGGAGTGGGACTGGGGATTCTAATTTATTGATTTTGAACATTTCCAATAAACATGTGTGTTTGAACAAACTGTGTATGGTTAGTAAACCATTTTTCTTAAATAGCGGTTTTGTGTGCTGTTTTTCATAGAAGTCGCTTCCTAATTTTTGCTTGTCTTTACTTCGTGTTCTAGCACAAGTTCTAAACTTTTCTAAGTACGCCTCTCGGTTACCAAATAGTATTCTAACACATTTCTTCTGAGTGATAAATATTGGTTCAAGCCTGTTGTTACTAAGGCCACCCCATACTGATATCCCAAATCGCAAGTGTGATTCAAATAGTGTGTAGTACAGTTCTTTGTAGAGTTTTTCTGGAATAATGTGCCGTATTCTACAAATTTTCCCACTTTCACATTTCAGCTTTGTGTTGAGCGACCGTATATGAGCATCCCATTTAAGCTGATCATCAATAATAACACCAAGAAACTTCACCTTTTTGACTTGCTTTATTACTACATTGTTTAGAGTAAGTACGTGTTCTTCTTCATTATGTTCTACCTTGCTTTTTCTATTCGTTGGTTTAAAGTGAATGTAACAGCATTTCTTAATGTTAATATGCAGGAGATTACATTTCATATACAGTTGTACCAGTTTGAGAATTTGGTTTGCTCGTTCATATAACTTTATCTTACATTCATCCGCGACAAATATATTTGTATCGTCAGCAAATAGAATGAACTTGCCTAGTTCAGTTGCCCTATATAGGTCGTTGATATAAATAATAAATAGTAACGGACCAAGACAAGATCCCTGGGGTACTCCAAAGAGAACTGGAAGCTTGTCAGACTCTTCTCCTAGGACCGAGACGTATTGATATCTATTAGAGAGATAACTAGCAATGAGTTTGTTGGCATTGCCTCGAATTCCGTAATTATCTAGCTTACTCAGTAATTTGTCAGCTGAGATGGTATCGAATGCTTTGCTTAGATCAATGAATATTCCGAGCACGTGCTGCTTTTTATTAAGGCATGATTCTATATAATTCACTGAGAAATTCAGGGCATGACTAGTAGAGTGATTTTTACGGAATCCATACTGATTTTCATAGATCATATTTTGTGACTGGAAAAAGCTGTATAGCCTACTATATATAATTTTCTCGAATAACTTACCAAATACGGCTAAGGTAGAGACTGGTCTATAGTTTTCAAGTAATTCTTCATTTTCTTTCTTGTATATGGGACTGATCCTGCCAATCTTTAAATCGTCCGGGAATATTCCCTCCTTCAAACATTCATTGTATAGTACAGATAATAGGGGGGCGATAATTCTGGATGACGCTTTTACAACATGTATTGGGATATCAGACGATTTGCCATTTTTCAATTCTGATATTATTTTACATACTTCATCGATTGTACAATCATGCATGTAAATACTGGTCGTGTTGGATTTTGGTAGGTAGTCATAGATACTGGGGATGCCATTAATTAATAGTTCGCCGATTTCATTGTATGCCTCGTTAAGATTAGAAGCTAGGGAGACAAAGTACTTATTAAACTCATTAGCTATTACCCTACGATTAGTAATTTTTTCATTATTGATAGTAAATAGAGGTTTGGTTTGTCGTTTTCGTTTACCCCGTATTTGGTTAATTAATTCCCACGTCTTTTTACTGTTTCCGTGCAACTCTGCAAATTTTCCACCATAGAACTTAGATTGAGCATTGCGGCGATCTTTTTTGACCTTCCGCCTGCAGTCACTGTATTTTTTATACTTGTCACGTTTTGAGCAACATATTGGGCATTGGCATGTCCCCCCTTTATTTTCAATTTCCCCAAATTTACATTTAACTTTTCTGACCTTTACCCATTTATCGTAAAGTTCGTGCTGATATGAAATTTTGCCCACAAGGTCTGGTGTAATCCATGGGTTGTTCAGTGCTGTTCTTTTAGAGCATTTAGGGGTTTCTAACTTACAAGTTCTATCTATACAGTCCTTAAATATGTCGTGAAATGTTGTAAAATTGTCGATAACATTATTATTGAGATCATGTTCCAGAGTCTGTAAAAAAGCTTTTACATTCGGTTTGTTGTAATCATAATACTGTTTGTATTTCAGGTCAATTCTGCTAGAGTCCAAGTTTCTATCAAAGATTTGGAAGATGGGTGAGTGGTGTGATATACGGTCAGTCAGTATTCCAGAAGCTACTATACTCTCTACGTC